CTGGAGGAATCTACGTCGGCCGTCCGGCATGTAAAGGAACTCGGAGCTTTCCCCTAAGGAGTATTATACAAAAAAAAAGAATTCTTTTCATTTCACCTGTAAGAGTCCTAGAACTACAGAATTGTAATTAAATTAGTTCGGTCACGAGCACAACAGGTATTCAAGGCGAAACTACAGGTGTTGAAAAAGTGATCGTAGGTCGGTCCCCCACGGGACCTTTCGGCATGCTAAGAGTTCTGGCGCAGTTCGGTTTGGTGAGTACATTGCTAGTTCCTATCAATCAGTGCCGATGCCACCTATGGAGACCTGTGAATTGCTGTAAAGCTATGCAGTAGCAGTGGATCCGTTCACACCTCGCAGCCGTATACAATTCGCAGAGAAGTAATACATGTGTCACAGAGGTGACCAGAAGAAAAGAGGGGGCAGATGGGTACACATATGCGGACGCATCTTCGGTAGCGGTGATTGGCAAGATGCCTACGGGAAACTCGTCCGAAATCGATTTTCAAGTCACTGAGAACGGAGGCTTTTTCTTCGCAGGATTTTGACCGTTTCACTCCGTTTTCGCCATTTCCCCACTATACAGCGCCCTACTAGCATTTTAGGCCGAGTAGGAAACAATCGTGCCAACTGCCTTTAAGGCTTCTTGAGCACGAATAAACACTTTTATCGGCTTTACTCCTCCAATCGGACAACATGTGTGTCAACAGAAACTAGCTAAAGCTAAACCAGCGAAATGTTTTGTTGCAAAATGTTCCTCCCGTGCCGAGTGGGGACGCAATTTTTCTTCGACATGAACATTGAATCGTACACCTACTTTAATACGTCAAAGAGGAGCTTGTAAATGAAAACTGTCGAAATACTCGCTCAGCAGAGCAGCACTTCAATCAGCTTCAAAAGGGTCCTATTACGAACATTTCAAAGGTTTTTTTTCCTTCTTTGTTGATTTACTAACTACACCAGTTTGGCTGATGCGCACTTCTGCGCGCATGGTTCAGTCCATGGCTGTGACGCGAATTACGAATTTGGTGAGCCTCCCCATGCCAGCTTTTTTCAACTGTCATCACTTCCTGCCCCCTACCGATATTGTTCCTGTCTGACCTCCTACAACCTGTTAATTTGAACTCTCTACGACTGATTTGAAGGATTCCGAACAAACAAACAAACGAACACGCACACACACCACAGTGGGGTTTACCGTAATATTTCCGCCATACAACATACAGTTTGTAACATCGCAGTCAATTGGGACGGTTTGAGAGAGATGGACTGACCCCCTTTGGGGCGTTTCCTTCGTACACCCCCTCTGACCAGGGGAGTATATTCGCAGCTCGCAATTACTACCAATGCGTAATATCGTAACACACCCTTACAGTGGTCAATATCCATATCCCCGAGATGAGGAGGGCTTGGCTGCGTTCTGTGCGCGGCAGCAGCGCTCTTTTTGGGGGAACTGCAGTTTTGAATTAACTGTGATCTTGCCTTTGCCCACTCCGCGGCATTGAATGTACCTAGAAAAGTGCGTTTGGCTCAGCACTGCCTACCCCAGAACCATTGATTAGCAACAACAATCAGGCTTAAGCATTATTCTTCATTCCACATCAGAAACAGACAACGGGAAACGCTTACCAGAGGCAGAGGGTCCATGGCTTGGGCGGGCGGTTGCTGCCACCGTCATTGGTGGAAGGGATGCGAGAGGGCATTAGTTCTCCCACCAAAGACCTTGGCAGTTACCGTCCGCCTCCAGAATTTTTGCCCACTGCCTTCAGGCAAGCTTGAAAGTCAGGAGGTCAGAATCGCGGCGTCGATGCAGCAGTAGAGTTGCGAGTGGCTCTGCGCGCGGAATTTACACCAAAAATTGACTGAATTGATGTACCATCGCCAAAGTGATTCTGGTCAACTAGCTAGGAAATGCCACGCGCGTCGAGCCACCCTATACGAATCGGACCATTTGGCTCGGAACGCTCAAAATCAACATCGACACCGAAGGATCACACGTCACAGGGATAAGAGTGAGGGATAGATTGTACAGAATGAAGGAAAGGCAGAGACCAGCCCAACTCGCAGACTGTATAACCACCGAATTCCCAAACATCGAACATGAATTTCACCAATCAATACGAAAGGGCTTGACGACACGTTTCTCTGCCTTCATGAAGTGAAGGGAGTTCTGAGGTAGTTGTAGAGGTTCTTCGCCCGAATCGGCCCTAGTCCAGGACACAGTGCCAGCTGCTCTTCACTTGCCTCACTGATAGCCTTCAGTGTTCCGAAATTGAACAAAAGCCTGAAATTCAGTCAGTTTCATCTATGGATATTCTATTAGAAGGCTTTCCAGGTAGGGATGGAACATTCTTAAAATTTTCTAAACTTTATTCACACCTCTGCGCGTCTGCTTTCGTAACACTTCTTGCACCGGTCAGTATCCCAACAGCGGCGTTTTGAAGTGCCGTCTTCTCATCAACAGGCACAAAAACTGGTTTCCTGAAATACTGGGGAAATTTCGCGCGCCATCAACAGAAATACGATGGTTGGCTGTCCCCGCCCACATGATCAGTGTGGACAGCATCTTTTACATGAATAACAATGAGGGGCACCGATGCAACTTTCGAAAGACTCACTTGAAAGTAGGGTCCCTGTTGTCAGCAAGCTTCAAATTCTCAATGTACTCAGCAGCTTCCTCCACCTGAATACACTTTATATACTCCAAAGATAAACACAAGGCAACTCTATAGAATACTCGGTGGAAAATTTTTTACCATATCCCTGGCTAGGGGGGAGCATATGCCACATAGAATATATCCGTTAACTTGAAAGCACAGTGGACGCCGACCAGGGTACAGCATGGGGATGTGCGAAATGTCGGTGTGAGTACGA